TAGGGAAGGGTGGAGGGCATGAAGGGAGGGCTAGGAATGGGGAAAAAATAAGAACCAAGATGCATTATGTAAAGGTACAATTCCCAATGAAAAAAAAAACAACATAATTATTTTGGATGATTATAGTCAATGTAACTGACAGGTCCCCTGAGTCAGACCCCTGCCCAACCAGAAGGCAACCCCCTCAAGCGGACCCGCTCCCCGCTCCCACAGGAGCATAGCAATAACAGGAAGCCAGAAGCTGCCCCATTTAGCTGTAAGAAGCTGAGTCTACAAAATACCACAAGAGACCTGCTGTACCTGCTGCCATCCCGCTGCTCCAACCACTGCCCTGTTTATCAGCCAGCCCCAGGCCCATCACCCATGGGACTCTAAAACTTTCCAACGTCTGTACCAGTGCCCCCTCCCCTACCTAAACTCTCCTGCATCCATTGCATGCACCCTCTTCTCGGTGCCTTTTCGCCCTTGGCCTGTCTGCACAAAGACGGCAATAAACTCATTGTATGTTGCTTAGATTTTGCCTGTGTTGGTGGTCTCAACTGTGCCTCAGTCTGACCTTACAGTAATCACATCCAAAATTATTAATATTTTATAATCCTAAATTAATCTTAAATATTACTGTTTACAATCTCTTTTCATACACATTTTTGCAATCTGTTTTTTCGCATTTACAGCACATCTTGGTTTGGACCAACTATTGGCTACCATACTAAGCTGTATAATGCCAGAATGTCATTACAGAAAAACATGGAACTCTTGCTGCGGCAGGCAGCAAAACTGGCCCTAATAAAACTCCAAACACCAGCAGCAATCTCAGTTCCGTCCTGTAGCCTTAGGTGTATTATGTGGAGTCTGCCCTGCCCATATCTCATTCTTAGAAACTGGGCCAAATATATTATGTGCAGAATTTGGGAATGCTCCTCTGTAGCACTCTCTTTTTTGAGTTGTTTTCCTCCTTGATTTCCAGCTGCTATGTATGCCCCAAACATTCTCCTCTTATAGCCCAACTGGGCAGATCTATCGGAATCTATTCGAGTGTATCCGCCTCTCAGATCCAGTGAGGGCCTCACTGAGTCAACACGCCGTCAATATAGGAAATTCATTCAGTGCCATTCCACTGTCCCATTGGTCTACTTCTCCAGTTTCGACAGGGTTTCACTCAATTGCTAAGTTGCCCCAGGGTGGGCTCACATTTGCAATCTTTCTGCCTCAGCCTCCCAGAGTGCTAGGATTACAGGCATGTGCCATCCTGCCAGGTTCTTCTTTAGCTTTTAAACAGTTGCTTTTTACATTTTCTCCAGCGTTCTCATTGTTACCTACAGGAGGGCTGGTCCCATGCAAGCTACTCCATCATGACAGGACGTGGAACCCTTGGCTGACAGCTTTTAAGCCTCATTCCGTGGAGTTCTGCAAGGGTGCCGTGGCCCTCCTGCAAGAGGAGGGGAGGCCGAGAGTAGGGGCCTCAAGTCAACCACAGAACTCTCATTTCACATTTCATTTTATTGGTTTCTGCCTGTAATTTTAGAAAGCTATGGATATTGAAATGGTTTGAAAATGTAACATTAGAAAACCTGATTCTTGAATGGCTCCCTGAGACATTTCTTTTTCCTCGGCCACGTGGTTGAGCTCAGGTGACCTCTCCTCATGGGTACCCTAACCTACTCTCTACTCTCTGCACGAGGGCCTGGCCATGCTTGGTTTCAGGAGACGGCACACTGGCCTGTCTGACTGCTGAGTCTCTGTGCTGTCAAGTCCTCCTGCCTTTGGCCCTACGTGTGTGGCTGTCTGCCTGGCTGACAGGCTGCTCCGTCGGAGGGATGGCTGCTCATAGAACACCTTCCCCCGTGAGCTCTTCCTTAAGGACGTCAGCGTTAAGCACCCTTTCATTCTCGATCTTCCACGGCGCCGGTAAGATCAACGCAAGTCTTGTTTTCTTGCTCTCCCTCTTACCTTCTCTCACTCAAACACATGTTAAGAGTTTGACAAAGCACAGAGGGTTGACGCAAAAGCCAAATACTTTGTGAAATTCCTACATCAGGCAAGTGGCACAAGCTGAGTTTAAGGCACCTAAACACTGCCATATTAAAAGCCCCGCCTAAACATGACACCCAGAATCACAAAACAGAAACCACTCACCTCAACTCATGGCAGACAGGAGCCCAAGGGGTGACATCACACATCTGCCACAGATATTAATGCACGGGCACACTTACCCTCGGCCACTCAGACGCTAACATTATTTCCTTCTTCTCCAGTGGTTTAGGAATAGGATGGGTACCAGCCAAAAGTGTGCAGTATGGCTTTTCTCTGTGAGATGTTATTAAATGTCACCTACAGCCTGCATTCCAACTAGGATTGTGTATTTCCATCAGAGTTCTGGCTTAGTAGGCAGAAATGTCATACTGTCATGTGCCACATAAAGGTGCTTTGGTCATTGATGAATCACATATACAACAGTGGTCCCATAAGATCATAATGGAGCTGAAAAATTCCTAACATCCAGTGACACTGTACCCACTCTAACAGCATATTGGAGCACATTGCTCCTATGTGTGTGTGATGCTGGTATAAACAATCCTACTATGCCATGAGATGTATAAAAAAGTACAGCAGTATAATTACATACAGTACATAGGACTTGGTAAGAAATGACTGTGTTGCTGATTTATGTATTTGCCGTACTATATTTGTTATTGTTAAGAGTATATTCTTTGTATTTATAAAAATACTTGTTTCCAGTAAAGCAGTATGCCCTGATATACCAGCAGCAGCAGTAAACATCTCTTGTTTACTGCATCACTTCACTGGATAATTTTCTCTTGTGCTCGATTTATCCTCGGGTTGTATGGCCCATCATGGCCCAGGCGTAATAAGCTACACCATATAGGTACAGAGGGTGATCAAAAAATACGGTGAATGATGAAATTTAAAACTTACTATAGTAAAAGGCACATTATCATTAATTCCCTTCAAAATACTACTCTCTCTGTGAACACATTTATCCTACCACTTTTGCCACTTGCTGAAGCAGCTCTGGAAGTCCTCCTTTGTGAGCCTCTTTATGAGTTGTGGTAAAAGATATGATGAATGCTGCTGCCAAGTGCCATCCGATGGAAAGGCAGGCTTGTACAAACAGTATGGTGTGTCCTCATTCCCCTTATGCACCAGAGCTGGCACTGTGCGGCTTCTGGCTCTTCCCAAAGTCAAAATACCATGAAAGGAGATATCTGAGTTGATTCAGGATACTGAGGTAGCAACTAAAGAGACTCATGAAAGAGTTACTCCAGAATTGCTTCAGAAAGTGCCAAGAGTGATGGGATGAGTATCTTTGAAGCAACAGGGAATATTTTGAGGGGAATTAACGGTAACATGCTTTTTACTATAATACATTTTTAAAATTTAAATACCCATTGTGCCTTTTGTTCACACGATGTTATGGGCTGTACCACCTAGGTTTGTGTAACTACGCACACTGATGATGTTTGCACAATGATGAAGTTACCTAGTGATGCACTTCTCACAATGTGTCCCTGTCCTAAAATGACATGACTCTTTTGAGCAAGGAGAAATCACTCCGCAACAGTAACAGAACATGGCAGAGAGCAGCGCTGTGGTATTAACTGGGTACCACTGTTCCTCCCACTCATGGTGCCACCGCCCCAGGCCTGGGCCCAAGATGTAGAATGCAGCTCCTTACCGTGACTGGCATGGGTGTGAGTTGCACCTTCGGACCTGGGGCTCGGGGCGGCTTGTTTGAGGACAGTCACTGTCGTTCACTAGGGTTGTGGTTTTGTTAACAATCCGTGTGCATGACACGATGGTTCTGCGTTCCCCTGGAAACCAACCACAAGGAGCTGAGAGGCTGTGGCTGAACACACCTGAAAAGCCCATTCCTATGGAGGAGTGTTCAGAAGCAACTACTGAGCAGTGTGCTGAGAGGGAGAACTGTGTACGACATGTTGGGACAGCATGGGGCAGGCGAGAGTCTACAACAAGATAAGAAAGCAGCAACACCTCCGGTCAGCTGTGTCCTTGGATAGCGTGGGATTCACTGAGGGCAAGATTCTGACTCGGGTCTTTCATTTCCAACAATGATTGCCAATCCTCTGATCTGTTCATTAGATAAGGTCTTCAGAGATCTGGTCTCTATTAAATACCTGCAGACCTGCCTCACCATAGAGTATGACTACTTACTACAGAATTGCTGCTTGCTGGGGAGAAGTGAGGAACAGAGTAGCTGGTAGGAAGGACACACAGACCTGCATCCCCCTGGCAGGTCCTCCAGGGTCTGCAGCATGGTGCCTAAGAGGACAGTCTGGTTGCAGTCACAGGCATAGGTGTTGGCTGCTGGGCTTGGAGCTTGGAAGGCCATGAGCACAGAGGGGCAGCTGAAGGCCTAGGGCAGTGATGGTGAACTTTTCAGAGCTTTCAATGATAACAAACAGCACACTGCAGCGTGCATCCATAGGTTTGCCATTACTGGCCTAGGGTAAAGGGAGTGTGTCAGAAAGAGGTACAGAGTGGAAAGCTAACAGGGCTGACAGTGGACCCTGGAAACTATACCAACTGCCAGGGAGGTGCTGGAGGAGAAGGCCAAGAACAAACAGTGAGGGCAGTTAGCTAAGGTGCATGGGAAGGAATTCACTGTTGACCTTGGCATGTCTGACGGGCTCAATCATGCCATGGCTGTATTTCCTTCCTGTAGAGGGATGAGTCATTTAAATACTCAACAATCCTCTGTATGTTAGATGTCTGGCAACTGTCATCTCAGCAGTCAACAGCTCCTCAGGACTGGGGATAGGTAGGGCTGTGCCTGGGTCAACTCTGCAATCCCACAGTCTCAGCTGGCATCTGAAGTCCTGGCCAACTTTTCATCCTAAAGCCATGCCCATCAAACTACACTGTCCCAAGGAGCTGCTGGCAGAAAGCTTGAAATGGCTTTCTACTACTCCTTGCCAGTAACTCAGTACTGAATGCCTTTGGCTGATACCGATTCCTGCAGTATGACAGTCTCTTCCACTCTTCCTGCAATCTCCAGGACATGACACGAGGGATGAACTCCTATTTTAGAGGTGAGGAAATCAGCTGCAGAGAGGGGAAAGTCAGAGCCAGGAATCATGCATGGAAGGCCCTGTCCATGTGTTCTGCAGGGATTTTCCATGGGACGTGGCTAAGTTCCCAGGGAAGCACAGGTTATATACTCCCCACACTCTGGATGGCCACAGAGGGCCCTGAGCTCCCTGCTTCCTCCTTCCTGCTAGCCCGCCGCCTGGCTGCTCACCTCCTCCGCACTGCACGCTACACCCTTCCCAGCTGCTGTGGGTCCAGAGGAACAAGGCGTCCTGAGGCTTTGCAGGTTCACTTTGATTTTCAGCAGTGGAGTTCACAGGAATGGTGTATTCATAATGAATTTCATAATTCTGGTCATGAAATAACAGCACCTGGGTCAGTGGAAAAGTAGAAGGCCATGTTGAGATGGACCAAAAAGATCCATGAAGTTTCTGACTGTGCAAATCAAGCTGCATTTTGGCTGTTTTTCTAGGGGGGATTAGCTCTTTTCTGGGTGCAAAAGGTTCAACCTAGGGGTGCTCCTTTATCTCAGTTGCGGAGTCCTCAGCTACCCAGTTAGAGTATAGAACGAATGCACACCATCATTAGGGAGTTCTCTTCTTTCCAACCCCAGAGAGGAGCAGTTCACATGGGGAGTTTAGGGTGTAGCAGCTGGGTGGGCTCCTGGTGGCGTTTTTCCCAGAGAGCTGCTCCATGTGGAAGAAAGTGCACATTCCCACACACCCTCAGAGCTGCACTTGCAGACAAGACAGATGCAAATATAGTGCTTTCACCTAGACAGACACCCGAGCAAGCAGGGTTACTGCTCCTCACCTCCCCTACAGCAGTCACTGCTGTCAGTTGGTGCAGTCAGGCTCAACGGCAAAATGCAACCACTGCAGGGATTTGGGGGGACATTTGTGTGGGACTCTAAGGAAGCAGAAGCCTTTCCATTGTCGTGAGTCAGCCCTTGAAGCTGAGTAGAGTGGAGGTGCAGAGAGGGGTTCTATCATATTTCGGGGGAGCCGTCACACAACTTGTGAAGTCCTAGTGAGTGTGCAGAATCTAGGGGGGCTCTACTGTCTGGCCTTGTAAGGCACCAGGTGCATCACTGGGTTTATCTCCCCGGACATTAGGGTGCATAGCACACCCTTCCACAGGAGAACTAAGTGGCCTGGAAGTGAATGATGTGCCTGCAGGCTATGCTTGAGGCCAGTGAGTGCCCCTGGGCTGAGCAGCCAGCAAGTGCACTTCCAGCCAGAGGCTGGGAGATGGGCAGCACATGGCCTGCCTATCTAGTCTTGGGCAGGCCAGGTCAAAAGTGCGCCAGACAACAGGAGCCATCTCTTCCACTCTAAGAGGGCCTCCAATGCTGAGCTGGGGGTGGGAGCAGAAGTGCTAAAAGCAGACCCCACTGCATAAACATCTTTTTCAACAAATAGAATTGCATGAATGCATTTGGAAAAGTGCCTCCAGTTAAAAAAAAATTAGTCTTTAAGAAGAGATCTTTATTATCTCAGTGTGAGAATAAGACTGGTGGATGGAGAATCCATATGAAACCAATTTTATACAATTTTGTAGCCATGTTTGTAATTGGTTTCAAATGCAGGTCCCCTCTCTTTCCATGTTCCTCATTCCGCAAACATGTAAACCAGTTTGGGGACAATGGCTTTGTATACAGAAGCAAAGGGGCACCCCTAGTTCCTAGATTTAAAAACATGAAGTGACAATCATATTTTAAGAGAGAAAAACGATTAATATTAAACAAGGGCTGAAATGTCAGCCAGGAAGACTTGCTTTCTCTGAGTTTTGTTTATCACATTCTGAATGACTCCAGGCTGTATATTTGCTTTAATGGGCTGACAACCTGCTCAGTTTACACAAGCTTTTGGTAAAGAAGGGGAACGCTTATCTTGGTGCTTGCTAGAGGAAGCAAACTTACATTCTGACAGGTGATGTTTCTGTACAGATTTTACCTTGTCTTTTGCCTCCTCTCTTTGTCCTTCTAACTATCTGCTTTTAGCTCAAAGGAAGACAACTGGTTCTAATGACTTTGACCAGGAAATAATTTTATCCTAGAAAAATGGCTTTGGCATTGGTTCTTGGGTCCCGGAAATCTACTTGAGGGAATATATTGTATTGGATTTAGTGAACTTAGTACTACACTGGCAGATTTCCAAGGAAACTGGCTGGCTATTGTCTGATCAGAAACTATAACGGGGCTAACACCATCATGGGGCAACACTTGTGCTGGGCGCTGGTGGCCATGGGCAGCGCTCTGGGAGGCTCCCTGGGCTACGGTCAGGAAATCCCTTCAGGTGTCACCTAACCTTGAACGGTTGCAGAATGCCAGAGATCACAAATTAATGGGGCAAAAGAACTTGCAAGTAGAGACTGGCAGGAACTGAGAACAAAGCGTGCTTTGATGACAGGTGCACGAGCTGCCACAAATGTTGTTCTTTGGAAGGAGACAGGAAATCAGTAATTACCAATAATTAAAAGCTATCAGAAGTTAGCTATGAGAACCCTTAGAGCCTGAGAAAGAAACAGTGGGATGACTTGCCCTGGAGATCTCTCTTAAATTTAAAAAAGACAGATAGCCCATGTTTAAGTGGCCTGCACTGAGTTGCCCCGGAAACCCTAGCCAGGCCCAACTACACAATTTTCTGGAGACCTGGGAAGTAAATCCACCCATAGAACCTGATTCTCCTTCCCGATTCCCACATGCTTCTCACAAGCCGAGTCTGGCAAATCTGTGCGGTGCTAGACTCTGAGTCAACAATCCAGTCCCAAAAGATAACTTTTTACTGTGGGGCAGAATGATGCATCGCAGCAGCTGATATGAAAGCAGACTTTGAATAGAGCAGTCTGCTCAGTGGTGCCCGCTCTGCTTGGGTGCCACTTGTGTGGCTGAGCATTTCCTTCTTGGAGGCAGCTCCTTCCGAAGAAGATAGAAGCTCCTCAAGTGCAGAGGCAAGGGGAGGCTTTGAGAGAATTCTGAAGGACTGGGGTGGAAGTGTTTAGATAAGAAAAAGAGGGAGGGAATAGCGTGAGCATCAGGCAGCCCTGTGGACCCAAGGGCCCAATGTATCTTCTGCCACCAGGGTCCCTGAAAGAAGTAATCCAAGTGTACATGCCCAGAAAGTTACCATCAGATGCAGTGGAGTTTTGGTTGGTCCCTTGGCAGAAATCTTCTCCCACAGCCCCCTCCTCACATAGCGGATGGTTGTGCCTGCGATCTGGAACTCTCCGGGGAGCTCTATCTTCCAATCGCTGTTGATGGATCTCTTACTGGAATCTTTCAGAGCTGACAAGGAAACAGCGCACTGGGAGTCAGAGGGTGAGGATGGGAGCCAGCCTGTCCGTAAAGGGAATCTGGGTGCCCTGAATGGGCCAGAGGTCTCCCCTCCATGGGGGCAGGAAGGGGCCTGCAGTGAGAGGAGAGCTTTCTATGAGAACAGAAGCCCTGTCCATGGGAGCCAAGGGCTTGGGCTCATAGGACAGAGGTGTCGGAAAGGTCAGTGGCACCTTCTCACAGGGCTGCTCGTCTCAAAACCAACTCAGACAGAGCTGGTGTGGGAACGGCAGGGCAGGATGGAGCTAACCACAGCCCAGTCACACTGCACTCAACTTGCCCAAGTAGAGGGTTTTTGTGCCTGGTAAATTAATTCCGTTTACTGTCTAAAGCTATGAAATAGGTTTTGCAGTGGTAGCAAAACGCATCCATTCATTTAAAAATTTAAAAAATGTGACCAACATGTATTAATTGCAGAATTCCTTGGGCTTCTGTGTGATATTTCAATAAATGCATACAGCATGTACTGATCAAATGAAGCCTGCCTTCTTCACTCCCTCCTCACTCCCCAATCTCTAGCAATCACCATTCTACATTCAGGTCAGTGTTTTTCCTAAAATGTCTATGTATGAAAAAGAACATGACTTGTCTCTCTGTGTCTGGTTTACGTCACTTAATGTTCTCCAGTTCCACCTATTTTACGGCAGATGACAAGCAAAAAAACAAAACAAAAAGGCCAACAATCTGAACAGATACTTTTCAAAAGAAGAAATACAAATAGCCAATAAATATATGAAATAATGCTCAGTATCATCAGCCACCAGGGAAATGCAAATCAAAACTATAAATGAGAACCATTTCACCCCAGTAAGAATGGCCATTATCAAAAAAAATTAAAAGGGACAAATTCTGGCAAAGATGTGTGTTTCACATTGTTGCTGGAAACACAAATCTGTACAGTCATTATAAAGATCAGTATGGAGGCTCCTCAGAGGACTAGAGCAGATCATAAGATCTAGCTATTCTACCTCTGGGTGTGCATCCAAAGTACATGACGTCAGCATACCAATGAGATACCTGCACGCTCACATTTACTGTGGCATTCGTCACAACCGCTATGATATGGAATTGGCCTCAGTGTCATATCAATCAAGGGATGAATGGATAATAAAAACGTGGGGTATATATATATATGAAGTGTTATTCAGACTCACAAAAAAGAGGAAATCGTCCATTCATTTTACTACTTCCTTCCCGAGGCTTTGGAAACAGGGCAGCCTGTTGCCAACATCTTCTAAGGGCCTGACACTCCCACATTGATAAAGTGGATGTTCCTTCAGGAATCAGTTGTGAGTCTGTAAAATATTTATGCTTGGAAACCCCAGCTGCTCAGAGATGGGGCAGAGACACTCAGCAGCTGGTGTAGGGGGGCAGAGTGGGGCCCAAGTATGGCAGACAGTTGCTCTCAGGCTCTAGCTGAGAGGGCTTTGGTTTCCCAGATCTGCTTGCTTATGCCTCTGCTTAGGACAAAACATGGACAGACGTGGAATCCACATGCTGCTGACTGGCCATGAGCATCAAATTGCTTTTATCTTCTCATTTGGATTGAAATTCTATGTTGTTTTCTTAAGGGCAACATTCTGGAGTGAAATTGTCTGTCTTCTTGTCATTGTCATGTAGGAAAATACCCTGTAATTAACTAGGACATATTCTAGTATTTAGGAGGAGGTGGCAAATGGCAAGAGGTGACCACAAGTGTTTGTGTCATTTCCAAAAACCCCAGGACATCCTCTGACCTGTGTCCACTCTACATGTGCAGCTGGAGTCACCAATGCCCATTTTTTCAGGTCACTTTGGGACCCCACTCAGTCTACAAACAACAAATCCAGATTCCACTCCACTCACCAGCAGCTGCCCAGGGAGCCCAGAAACCAAATGTCCACATCTAACATCACTGTGGACATTGAGAGTCAAAACCTAGGAGGAGTTTCGGTTAAAGCTGGATTTATCAGCCTCAGGCTGGGTTAGACCCCAAGACTTAAGTCCTGTTCAGACCAGAGGGAAGCTTGGAGGGCCGGCGTCAGCACTGGCACCTCATCTCCAGGATGCTCTGGTCCTGGCAAACATAGGGGAGATGCAAGCCCAGGGTTCTCCATTATAGGAGCTGCCAGGAGAAATGGGCAGGGCTGCTTTCCAGTGCAGCGACTTCCGGTTGGGGGTCCTATCCAGAGTGGCTGAGGATTACAGGACTCCAGGGAAGGCTTAAGAAAGAGAGCACTCTGCTGTCTGGAACCGAATCTGTTTCCCTTCAAGAAATTCTACCCGCAGTGGAAATTTCCTGCCTACTTAAAAGAGGTGAGAATGTGGGGAGACTCACAATTTCTTCTTTTTCTCTTCCAACATCGTCACCTGCAAACCACTTTGTAAGAACACCTTTTCTGGTTTAGCTTCTTATTATACTATCACCCATTTAATCTCCCCTATAACCCTCTGGATTACTTTCCTCATTCAGAAAAATAAAAGGAGGCACAGAGATTAAGTAACTTGCCAAAAGACACACAGCTATTAAGCTGTAGGAGTGGAGAGTAGGATCTTAGAGACCAAGCCTAATGCACTTACTGCTCTGAGAACTTCTAATTTCCATGTTCTTGAGGTTACAGCATCAGTCTAGACTTTTACGACAATGCTGAAATGTGCAAATGTAAGACCTATTCTCAAAGAGAACAGATCTCAGGTTATCATTACAGGCCTCATGTTCTATATACCCTTATACAAATAGCTAGCCTCATGGATCTCCACAGCTTCCAATGGGCTAAGCACCTAAAGCATATTTGCTTATGTGAACGCTTGGTGAATCCAGGTGAAAGCTGTAGAGATCTTCATGGCCTTTCAACTTCTCTAAGAAGATGGAAAATTGTTTCTTACATATGGAGTTGTATATCTGGTTTGAGGAATCTGCATGCTGGTGAGAAGTAGCAGACAGGAAAAATAAGAAAGAGTCCTCTAAGAAAACATGCAGGCTGGGCCTGGTGGTGCATGCCTGTAATGTCAGCAACTTGGGAGTCTGAGGCAGGAGGATGACAAGTTCAAGCCCAGGCCGGGCAACTTAGCAATACCCTGTCTCAAAGCAAAAAATAAAAAGGGCTGAGGATGAAGCTCATGAATGCTTGTAAAGCATGCATGAGGCCTTGAGTTCAGTACCCAGTATTGCAAAAGCAGAAGGAAAAGGAAGAGGGAAGGGAAGGAGGAAGGGAGGAAGGGACGAAGTCTCAAAAGAACAAGCTGAGGACACCTATGGCACAGAAGCAACACCCCTGGCAACCCCTCACCCTATTCTGAGGGTCTCCTGGCAGGGCTGGAGACCAACAGCTCCTGCTGTCAGGAAGCTCAGCTTGGAAGGGAGACAGAGAAGAGAGAAAGACGATCGGTGTCATGCACTGTGACAGACAAGTGTCCAGGGCCTGGGAAGGATGGGCAGCAGGGGCAGAGGTGGCTGGGGTCAGCGTTTAGAAAGAAGCACCTATGAACAGAGCTGGTTAGAAAAGCAGAGGAGGGCTGGGGATTTAGCTCAGTGGTTCCACCGCTTGCCTTGAAAGCGCAAGGTCTGGAGTTCAACCCCCCGGTACCAAAAAAAAGAAAAGCAGAGAGAAGAGGCAGGCAAGGGGTGCACAGCAGGCATGGGGGTGAGACCCTGGCTCCCCACACACGGGGCTATGGGTGATCTTGTCAAGGTCACTGTCCCTAGCAGGGAGGTGAGGAAGGCAGGCACAGGGTCCCGAGGGGAAAAGCAAGTGCAAAGGGAAGGGGCAGCTTCCTGGGAGGGTGGCCGGGAAGGAGGCGAGAGGTGGAGAGCAGCTGAATGGGAGGGACGGCTGTGCTGAAGCTGGGCAGAAGACAGGAGGGCACGCGGCCATGGCCCTGTGAGCAGCAGTTCGGCACGTGAGTGGGGTGTCTCCAAAGCTGGGCGCTGCCCCGTCACACCTGGCCCACTCCACTGAACCCGCTGGCCACACAGGGACCACACAGAAGCCAGGGTGGCTGCCCACCCCGAGACAGCAGCTGCTTGTCACCTACATTCATAGACTGACCTGAGCTTCCCCTCCCTGGGGTGGAGCTGTGGGGTTAAAGTCACAGCCCTGACTCGTTCCTCTATTACGGCCGCGTTGAGCACCTAGTGTGGCCGCTAACTGGCATGTTTCTCCCTCTACATCCCCCGGCACCTGGAGTCTCCCTCGGGGATGTTTTCTCTCCAGTCCTATGAGGCCCCAACTCCACCCCAGCTCCAGACCTAGGGTTTCACCCAACCCTGGTCAGTTCACCTTAGGCAGAAGGATCTTGCCTTCATCAGGCTGCCCAGGGATTTGATGCAAGCCACTTCACGGGTAGAGGCCTTGGGAGAAGTCAGGGGTGCCAGGATAAACTGTTTCCTGTCACTTTAAGCTCCTGGATCCAGCAGTACCCGAGGCTGATGCTCAGAAAATGAGAACTGGGTTTGGCTTTCACACGGGCCTTTTGGAGGCTGGTTTTCACAAGATACTAATCCTGTGAGGGCAGAGCAGGTAGGAAAGAAAAATCACTTTCATGGATTCCTAGAAATCACCTCCAGCTGTTCACAACACAAGCCTCGTACCTGCTGGGATGGAGAAGGCCTGACAAACTCTGGTGATGCCTTAAACTCTCCCCTGAGCCATGCTGGCTACAGCACCTTACATGGTGGCTCTTTCCCTGGCACTGTGTGTATACTTCCCTGACCCTTTTTGTAAGATGCTGTAAAGTGCCTGAGTTCTAAATGGACAACTATGCCACTGTATGGGAAGTCAAACATCTGGAAGGTCACGAGTGGAAAGGGCACAAGGGCACACCTGGAGACCACTGCAGAACTGCCCGCAGGAACCAGCCTAGAGGTCAGGGTAGCAGGAAAGCCTGGCTCCTGCCATGGGAGGGGTGGCCACGGGGGAGACAGGAGACAGTGGCAACTACAAGAGAGAAGGTGGAGGCGGAGCCAGCGTGGGCCTGGGCTGCACTATCCTGTGGTCACCTGAGCAGGGTCTTGCCCATCCACATCAGGGTGGGGGAAAAGCCACTTCAGGAGGTGGCCTGCAATGTGCCAGAGGCTGTGGAGGAGTCGCGGCAAGGAACTACGGACTGGGACGTGAGAGAGGCAGGTTGTGGCTAAAGGGCTGAGGTCAGCTGCTGAATGGGGGTGAGCATGCTGGACATGGCCTGACAGTTAGCCCCGAGGGTACATATGCTGCTACCCAAGGAATTAACTCCCTCACTGTGGCAGAATTCAAGGCACCCCTGCCATTGTGAGCAGGAGTTGGAAGAGATGTACTGCTGGCTCACACAGGCACCATGGGTTCCGAAGATGTTCGTCTCTGGCTGGGAGGTGCTGGTCTGCAGATGCGGGGCTGGGGAAATCTCCTTTGTTCAGTGGCTGCAAGGGTGGCAGTAACTCTTGTGGTTCCAGAAAGGTTAGGCTCTGGGTCCCCACACGTGGCTTACGGCTACCTCTATGGCAGCTCAAACTTTCAGGCACTACAGATGCAGCCTTACATCTGCCACTCAGCCCCACAGTGCAATCTCAGGGCAGAGGCTCCCAGTCACACCTGCTCCTGCGCTTCTCAGAAGAAGAACAAAGGCAGAATTAAAAGTAGGAGGTCAGCAGCTCCAAGAGGCAAGAGGGTTGCTTCTGTCCCTTTTTACTTTGCAGGAAGTAACTTAGCAAAATGCAAAATTTGCAAGTTCCCACTGCTAAAACCAAGAATTTAGTTAGCACCTGAAATTTCTTCAAAAGGGTGAGACTTCACAGTCTGCTGGGACACTGAAGAAGTAAAAATATTTTTAATTGGTTCATTTCTCATTAGCCACTCTAATAAGCCCTTACTCTTAGGGTTAGCTCAGTCACAGCGGAAAAGAAAACACAGACTGTACAAACACTCACACCAGATAAGGTTCTGGGATAAGAGATAATTGCTAAACAAGTCTTTGGGATCCTGGGAAGCCAAAAGGCTAAAAATAACTACAAAGAGGAATGGAGGGGGGTGCGCAACAGGTGTGGGATGAAATAGATCGCCTGGGATAGACTGTGAACCCCGGATCCCAGGCCATGAGAGGTGGGGGAAGGCTGCCTGGGAGTTAGGAACACAAACAGCTTCTCAGCTGGTGGGCGCCTGTCTGTATGGGCACCACCAAGGGTGCAGATTAAAAGCCTCGCTTTCCGGCTGGAGTCCAATTTCCTTTTTTTGGTTTGGAAGTAAATTCATTTCTTACAACACCAAGGTCATTTGTAACAGGGAACGAACAGGTTCAATGTGGAATTTGATGAGACCTTGACTTTGGGGGGCTCTCACCTGCCCCATCAGCGGGCTGTTTTGCCTTTTGTGAGCTACACAGTCGGGTTTGCCAGAGCCCACGAGGCTGTGGCTTCAGAGAACCTCTATGCATGTGTCTTTTTTCTCAGAGGTCCTCCGCATTCAATCAATCTGAGGTTCTACAACTTTTGCCCCTCTCCACTCTCAGGCATCCTAGGTATTTTCAAGCCTCTTTTGTCTTAGGCATTTTGAGATCGAGCAGTTTGTGTTTCAAATTAGGATTCAGAGACCCAGAATAGACTCAACAGAAGTGATCTAGATGATTACAAATGCTTTGATTTCACAGGCAAATCACAGAGCTCAGAACAAAGGGAATTCCTCCAGCAGCTTGGTCTCATCTGCAACATCTGAAGTGCCGATTTGCTTTGCTGGGGAGATTTCCCCTGGCACCTTTTGCCTAGGCCAGGGGTTGGATGTTTTAAAAGACTGTACACACACATACACACACACACACACGAGCACGCTTTTGTGGGTTTTGCTCAGAAGCCTCTCAACCTCACAGAGACTTTCGAGGCATTATGGGGAGTGCAAGGACTCACACTTTTCCTCCAATTATGGCAGAACAAAATCTCTGCAGTGGTCTTGCATGCAAGGCCATGTGCTGAACATCTATGTCTATCCAGGTGCTCTTCTTCTTGGTGGACATTTATACACCACCCCTGGACTTTAAGGCACGACCGAGGAAGGTGGTGAATCATTCCAGAGGCGGGAGGGGGCATTCTGGACGGGAGGCCATGGCATCCCGTGAGAGCTGGCTGGAGGCAGATGTGAGCTCAGAGCTTGGCCAAAGCCCTCCTCTGGCACGGAGCTGTGCAGAAGCTTGGTGGCTTGGTGGGTCTCTCTTTGCCCGGCTCCCTTCTGGATTCAACGGGAAGACCTGACCCATAGTCAACCTACTTCTAATCCTGGCATCGACTCAGCTCCTTTTATTTCCACTCAGAGCCCTGCCAGCTCTGTTCTTAACTATGGATACAAACTGCAGAGGCATTTCCCGTTCCAGGTGGTTTGGAGCAGAAAGCAGCAGGCGTGGGAGGAAGGTAGATGGGGTGAAATTCTTCAGGAACAGCTCCCAGCAAATGTGAGAGTTGTTCAAAGTCACACTGGGTTGACTTCCAAAGCACCCAGCCCCAAGTGGAAACAAGGCCTGCTGCAACTAACCGTAGAAACAATGAGTGTGGACCACCATCGGGTGTGAGCTTGTCCATGTGCCAGGCTCTGGAATACTAGGATTACGATTTTTGGATAAGAGGACCAAGGCCGTTTCCAAGCTCCCACAGAGGTACAGTGCTTCTGGGGAGTTCAGCTATTCAGAGACATTTAAACCAATCCCCCTTGGGATAGAGATTTGGTCCCTGCATTAACCTTGGGAAGGCTTAACATGTGTTCTCCAGGGAAAAATCTTCTCTACCAGTCAGTCACTGGCCCCGATGGGACACCATGGAGCAATTCTGAGAGGCTCCATGGCACATGGTGAACGCAGGTGATGTGAGGGCTGTGCACATGTTACTAAGCCTATGGAGCTTCTGCTGCTCCTGTGTAGCTATAGAGGAATGCTTTGGAGCACCTTTGTGGGTAGAAGGGATCTGGTCTCTAAGTACAGCATGGCCCCGTGATTAGGAGCCACAAAGGGTATATGGTTAAGAGCTAGCTGTCCTGGGCAGCATCCACCAATCATTACCTGTTGACCCCAAAGAGAGTTCTAGTGAAAAGTTCATTTTCACCTGAGAACTAAGGTAAGGATTTGACTCCACTTTTGCCACAGAGAAGCAGAGAGAAAGAATACCTTCCTTTTTCTTCCAGGTCCCTAAGACTGGGATCAGGCAGAGGAATGGCACTAGGAAGGCTCAGAAGCCAGGATGGGAGGTCAGGGGACTTATTTGTAGGGACACCTGCTGGTGCTTTATGGTAGAACCATTAAGTTGCTCTTGGAATTGGGCCAGCTCTTGGGAAAAACTGATTATCATTTTTTAAATAAGAGTGAAAGGTGACTTCAGGCTCCCATGGAGGTCTAGTGTCCCTTGGGAGTGGAAATACCATTCCCAAGTAAGAATGGTACATCCCCAATGGACCAGTTGGGGACGGTAATGTTTGGGTGACACTAGGTGATGAGTTTCTGATGCTAAGGCTAATAAAGCCCATCCTAGGCAGGAAGAGAAGGGGCTCTTTGAGAATCTAGTACAAAGCTATCACACCAAAGAAGCTGCCAAGAGCAGCACAAGGCTGTTTCAGATGGCATTTATGAGCACTGTTGTATTTGTAGAGCGACAGCTGGGACAGAGACAAGAGAATAACAAGAGAATTATGACCACCCTTCCTTCCTTCCTTCCTTCCTTCCTTCCTTCCTTCCTTCCCTTTCCCTTCCCTTCCTTCCCTCCCTCCCTTTCTTCTCCCGTTTCTTTCTCCTTCCTCTCTTTCATCTTAAACAGTACCTTGCAACACAGGCTGGGAGACTGGAATATAAAGGAAGCTCAGGAGTAGGGGGTGCTGGTAGATCAGCCACCTCACCCAGGCCAGGACTAAGGATTGGGGCTGGTAAAAGGACACAGGGCATGCATTTCCATCTCAGTGAACCAAGGAAGAGGCAGCCTGGGGGTAGCTTTGTCTTCTTTAGCCTGCATAAAGAATATTCAGGAGTTCGACTCAGCCTCCCAACCTCCCTGGTGCTGGTGTACCAGGCTGACCTTGGTGGGGTCAGCAGCAAAGCTGAACTTGAGCCTACAGTTCATGCAGGGTCCTCTCTAGCTGAGAAGGGGTTTCACTGGATGATTCTCTCACTAGGCTCTAACCATGGTCCTACCACGGAATCCAATTCCATAGAGAGATGTAGGCTTTTGGGCTTGAAGTCAGTGGGGTTAATAGAAATTTGGGGTACACAGAACTTAGTGAAAATCAGCATTGTTCTGCATTTCCATTTGACTTAGGGCTGTTGCTCTCCTCCCAGCAAAGTTACCCCCAATGCCACTGACAACATGCAGGGGCTCCATGCAGTTTGGGCAAAGGACCGTCACTGCATGGGCCGAACTGGCACTGGGACCTCCTGGGTGATCTTGGGAAACTCACGCTACCCCAGTGCCCACAGCTTTGTTCACTCTTCCATTATTTTCCTTCCTGTCCAAAGCTGGTGGTTCTAATGGTTTGCGCCCTATCCCTCAAATCTAGCTTGGAGGTGGCTGCACTTGGCTGCATACGACAGTGCTATTCGGTCCATTCTGAGTTCTATGTCACTACTATGGAAGCGCAGGTGCAAAACTGAGCTGACTTGGGAGAAGAGTGGTGGACAAAATTTACCACCCTAATTATAAAAATCAGCTGTCAGAACATCAACTGTGAATCAGATCATTTTTGTTTTACCCAGAAAACTGTGAGCAGGTTTATCTTCTACCACGCGGATCCTCCGAGCTCCAGCAGGAATAATAGCAGCTTCGATATAACCTGTGGCAACAAATGACATACAGGTAAATCACCCCTCCATCCTGGATTACAGGCTGTCGTGGCGTCCTCCCTCCCAACCGCCCCCCATCACACCAGCTGTGGTAGATTCAGAGACCGCAGGCTGGCACAGCTCTGAAAATATGGCTAGTCAACTAATGTGGAGTGCTTTCTTCCATGGCCAGAAGCTCTTGGGCTCTCATTTTCCTGAGAGCGCCATTTGCATGTGTTCTGAGTTGAACCAAGAGGCCTTCCTACCCTGGAATTTATATATTGAAATCCTAACCTTCAGCACCCGAGTGTGATCTCATTTGGAAACAGCACCACTGTCGATGAAGTTAGTTAAGATGAGGTCAGACTGGAATAGGAGGAACCCTTAATCCAATAGGACAAAAGACCTTTTAAAAAGGGGAGATTTGAACACAGACATGTACACAGGAGAACACCGTGAGAACATGATGGTAGAGACTGCGGAGCTGCTTTTCCAAGCCAAGAAACACCAAGCGTTGTCAGCACACCACCGGAAGTTAGGAGAGAGGCATAGAACAGATTTTTCCCTTGCAGCTTCAAAATGAGCCAGCCCTGCTGACACCACGACCTCACTTTTCCAGCCTCCAGAGTGGTGAGACAATAGGATTCTGTTGTTTACGCCACCCGGTTTGTGGTCCTTTGCTGCAACATTCTTAACAAAGAAATACACCCTGGAATCCTGCATGAATGGTACCTCCCAGATACACGGGTGAGGGCCCGGTCTCATTCATCTGTTGGAGGTTCCTTCACTCTGCTGTAGTTTGACTTTTCCCCCCAAATCTATGGAATGACAGCAGAAGCCAAGCAACATGTCGTGTCCTGTGACAAAACTCTTGCCGTAACCTGCTGTGCACCCTTTCCTGTTTGCACTGTTGTCAGTCATTTCTGCAGTGCTCATAGTGTATACTTCTGTCTGCTTCCTTCATTATTTCCAAGTGGGCGGGGAGCTGCCCATGCTTGGCAGTGCACAGTGCCCAGGGCCTAACTATGTGGAGATTATGGAACTACCTATTTCAAAGGTTTATTTTTCTAATAGAAAGTTTCCATTTTTACTATGAAAATAACACACATTTCAAATAACAACTGAGCTATACCACATCACACTAAGAAAAACACCCTTAAGAAAGTAAGCAGCATGTATATGAAATACTATCTTTTGAAAGGATGCCAACACATGCCCCATCCTAGCCATGTGATTACAGTTCAACTGCTCTGAGGCCTTTGTAGCACCTGGGGTAAAAACAACACCATGATCTCATAAGAGGTACAAGAGCACTGGATCAAGTGCAATACCTCTTCATGACGTGAGCTCTTAACGCGCGGGATAGAAGAGAACTCTCAAGCCGACAAGCGACACCTGTCACATTCTCATAGCAAACATTTCTTCATGGGAAGCATTGCTATGAATGGTAACTATTACTAGGGAGAAAGTACATCTTTGTTTTGTTTTTGATTAGAATAGGAATGACTGGATTATTCTGCATTTGAATATAATGTGGGCTGACGTTATTTATACGGGAAGAGAGAATGTGTAAATCTCACATATAACATTGTCCATAGCATAATCATATTAAGTAGTATATATTGATTACCATATTCAGAGTTTTATTAGGAATGAAGATTAAGTTTCATCATATTCTTTCTCAGTCTTTAACTGCATTTTTCTCTTTATTAAAGTACAATTATGTTTTCTAATATTTTCTAATATCAAAACTTCATAGACCTAGAATAAACCTTATGTGGCCATTTTATATTTCTAATATGCTGCTGAATTCTGTTATATTTAGAACTAATATTAATTACTCTATAACTTTTACAATATCATTTATAAGAATGGTCTGCATCACTTTGTGTGTGCATGTGTGTGTTGAATTCGGTTTTGCTATTAGTATTACTCTTGTTTTAATAAAAAAAATATTACTAACTTCTGTAGTAATTTGTATTGATTTTCAATTTTGTGTAGACTACAGTTGGGAATTTACTCTTTCCATTTATTTCAAACTAGTTTTAAATTATTTAGTTTAAACTATAAACAAGTAAACTTATTTACAGTTAATTTCTTGTATACTTTACCTTTTCTTATTATTTTACATATTTACATTTTCCTACCCTGTCTTTTGTTCAACAGATGACCAAATAGCAGAGCTGCATACTATTTAGGTTCATTTATCTTTTGCTAAGGCAGTTTCCACAGTTGCACTAGTCTTAGTTCTAAGGATGAATTTAATGTTCATTATGAGTCCTTTGGCAGTTTTGCTAAAATTCTTGTCTCATTTGTTCCCTTTGAAATAGGCTTATGGAAATAATATTTTCTGATATATAATATAGTAAAATATTACCACTCATTGTCTTTATATTTTAGTGTCAGTTTGGCTGGTATGAAATTGTGGGGTCGTGCTTACTTTCTCTGAGGCTATTGTAGGAGTTGCTCCACTGAATGTGACTGTGGAGAACTCTGAGGACAATCTGATGTTTCCACATTATCGTTATCTAAAATTTGGATGGGACGCTCAAAGGATTTTTACCTTTAAAGCTTAATGGCTATGAGGCTAGTCATAGTTTGGTATCAATTTTTCAGGGACACAGGTTTTATTGTCAGTAGAGCCATCCCTCAATATCTGTGGGGAATTGCTTTCAGATAGCACAATCTGCAGGTATTTAAGTCGCTTAGAGAAAATGGTGTAGCATTTGCTATAACCTACCCATATCCTGTTATATACTTTAAATCATCTCCAGATGACTTATAATACTATTTAATACAATATAAATGCTATAGATGTTAGAAATAGCAGTATAACTTAATATTGTACTATGTTACATTTGTTATTTTTTTAAAACATGATACTTCTTGGAGATCATACATGTTATTATGTATGGTTCTACTAACTTTGTTTAAATTGCTGGGTAGTTTATGTAACTACTCCCTTGTTGAATATTCATGTTGTTATCAAATGTTCATTACTAGAACAATAAATAGCATGTATAAATATGGACACAAAACACCTAAGCAAACTACTAGCAAACTTAATTCACCAACAGAGAAAAAGAATTATATACTACAATCAAATATGATTGATCTCAGGAATGGAAGGTTGGTTTAACATATGAAAATCAATCAATGTAATCCACCATTTTATTAAGGAACAAAACCCATATGATTATCTCATATGACAAAGCAACTCACAAAATTCAACACCATGACATTAATAAAAACAAACAAACAAAAAATAGAACTAGAAGGGAACATCCTCATCCTAATAAAGACCATCTAAAAAAAACCGCCATAGCTAATACCATACTTAATGGTGAAATACTGAATGCTTTTTCCTTACACCAGAAACAAGAAAAAGATGTCTTGCTACTTCTGTTCAACACTATATTGAAAGTTCTATCTTAAGCAATTAAGCAAGAAAATAAATAAAAGATATACAGTTGGGAAGAAATAATAACATTGTCTCTTCAGATGCCAAGATCTTATACATATAAAATCCCAAGGAATACAGTAAAATAACTATTAGAACAGGTTCAGAGGTCAATATACAAAAATCAACTTTATTTATATACATTAGGAATGAAGAGTTGGAAAATGAAATTAAGAAAACAATTTGACTTAAATACGTCAAAGAGAATAAAAAACTCAGGAATAAGTTTAGGAAAAGATCTTCAAGATTTGTTCACTGAAGACTACAACGCATTGTTGAGATATTAAGGAAGACTGAAGAAAATGGAAAGACATCATATGTTCATAGATCAAACAATAATAGGAATACTTCTCAAATTGTTCTATAGATTTAAGGCAATCACTTATTAAAATCCAACCTGGGTAGCTGGTCTGTTTGCCAAATATGATAAGGTGATCCCCAAAATTCATATGGAAATGCAAGGATTCCGAATAGTCAAAATAATTTTTTAAAAGCTAGAGGCCCCACACCACCTGATTTCAAAAATTTTCAGCTAGCTACAGTAAACCAGAGTGTGTTAGTGCATAAGGTTAGATATTTCTTTTTTCTAAATTAATTTTATTGGTACATTTACAGTATAATGACATTCATCATTGGAAATTTGCACCTTTACATAGTCTCTCTTGGTTCTTATTTTTTCCCCCTTCCTCCACCCCTCCCTATTTGAAAAGACTTTGTTTCCATTTTTTCATTTTCTCATATTAATTCCATTCCCTTCTTTCTTTTCCCCTACTCCTCCCACTTCCCCTTCCCCTTTGCCCCTTTTCTTCCTATTTCACATTATCTATTATACCATTTACTCCTTATTTACACTTTCAGTTTCTCGCACTAGAGAAACCATTCAGTATTTACACGTGTAATGACAGATATTTCTATCAATGACATGTAACTTGGAGTCCAGAAATAAATCATTTGTTGATTTTTACAAAAAAAAGGTACCAAGGGGGGCCGGGGATTTAGCTCAGTGGTTTTGCTGCCTGGCTCACAAGCGCAAGGTCCCGAGTTCGATCCCTGGTACAAAAAAAAGAAAAAAAAGGTACCAAGAATATTCAACCTGGAAAAGAACCATGTTTTGGAAAGTATTGAGATAACCGAATATTTAAACACAGAGAAAAGACATTAGACTCCAATCTCAGATCATATAAACAAATTAACTCCAAATGGATCACAGATCTAATTGTAGGAGTTAAAACTATAAATCTCCTAGAAGAAAACACAGGAGTAAATCTTTGTGACCCTGGATTAGGTGATGGTTCCTTAGATTTTACAGCAAAAGTACAAACAACAAAAGAGAACTTGAACTATTCAAAATTTAAAACTTTGGTGAAAGGACACCATCAACCCATGCACTAGTAGAAAATACCTAGAAACCATTTATTTCATAAAGGATCTGTATCCAGAATATATAAAGAAATCCTACAACCCATTAAGGAAACGATATATAATCCTATTTTAAAATAGGCACAATATTTTAATAGGGATTTTCCCAAAGAAGACATGTACATAGCCAAT